AACTGTCCCAACCTCACAAGAGCTCCGTCTTTCAGCTAAATCAACAGACGTCCTTCATATCGAGACATTCGTTCCGGTTTCATATAAGCATTAATAAGTTTTGGCGTGTCCTTTTTTCTACACGATGAGCTCATTCTCGAGTGCTGTGACATTTCCCACTTCTCCATTTTAGCTTGACCAAAGAACATTTGAACATTTCTGAGCAACTTAGCTAGAATTTCTCACCCAATTGACTCAAATCAGCAGGAAACAAAGAAAAAATGCCATCAGACATTTCCTATTTTGGTTTTTCAGTACATTTACACAATAGAATGACTTATGAATGAACTTTTCACTCTTTAGGAGTTGCGAGTAAAAAAATGGGTTCATGCTACACTGAACTACTGACAAAAGATAAAACAAAAATCTGAACGTTGAATGAACATCTCAGTGGTTTTGAATTCATTCTGTCACGAGAGACGGAAAAGTTTGACTCATAAATCCAGAGATACTGAACTTGGTGCCTCAATTCAACTAAAATAACTTTAACTTTTACTAATAATCCCATTAATAATACATTTCAGGTGATTGCAGATAAACACCATCTTGCCACTGAATGCTTCTTGTGAAAATTAATGTGTGCTTTTCAGCGTCACTGGTGTATTTATATATGTCGTTTGTCACTGCGGTTTCTTCATTCTCTTTTTTTCTCTCTTTCTGCAGCTATAGAAACAGTTACCTAATGTGTTGTTTTCTTTCTTTCTTCCTGTTTTTCTTATCTCCCTACTTTCCTTCAAACTTTTTGCCTGACCTCTCTTCATTTCTTCATTGGCTTGTTTACCCTTCTCCGTCTCTGTGTCCACTGCATTTGAAATAAAATCCCAAAGAGGTAGAGTTTGGCCACTGCACTTTAGGTTTTTCCAAATTCTGCTATATTTCAACTCGTGTCCAGTTACATCAAATCCTTCAGTCTCATTCAAGAGAAAGGTAGGACAAATTTATTGGGATAGCATTATTCATACACAAGGTTATTCAATGTGATTTACAGCGAAATAAAGTGACGGGTAAAAAGAAATGTGTTACAATACAACCTTTAAATGAAAAAACATACATTTTATAAATCACATAAAAAAATAAAAAATGTAAATTTGAAACACATTTTTAGACCTGGCTGAAAGGAACCAGTAGGTTTTGTCCATCTGAAGAATCAGATGATTTGTCAGTACATATGTAAACATCAACTCAACTCCAATGTGTGGAGGTCAAAGGTCACTCAGTTCCTTTTACACAGTCAGCGATATTTTGAATTAAATCCTTCAACAGACAGGGAACTGATGAAGTGATATACGAACTGGTTTTAGTCAGGACTCCGCCAGCAGCAATCTGGACATGAGCTGCAGCAGTGTAATTGTTTTCTTTCTATATATATATACTACTTGAGGTCTGTGCGGACAACATGAGAATAATCGAACCCATTGAAGATAAACGCGTGTAAGAGTTTTTCCTGGGTCTTGTTTTGACAGAGAATCCTTTATTGGTTGTTTTCTTATTCACTATGCGACGTTAGCAGACTGATTTAGGACAAATGTTTGGAGTGAGCCAACATTAGGAAAACGTTAAGCAGCCTCAAATACATTAAACCCGTCACCAAATCTGAAATGACAAGAAACATGGAAAACCTGATAATCAGTAAGAACTTTAGTTTTATTGCTATAATACTAGTAAAGGTTTTTCAATTAGTTACTGAGTTGAGTACAAATCATTTTTGAGATGCTGCTGGGTTTTTTTTTAAAACAACAGCTTTAATGTTTTTTGGGTTTTCTGGACATGGGACCATCGTTAGTCACAGTTCTTCCTGACTTGACGTTGGCATAAACTTCTGCCTCTGCTGAACGACTCCGTTTTCCTGTGAATTGAGAGATGAAAAGATTGTATATTTAAGCTGTACTGTATCTCCATACACATTTCAGTTGTCAGCTGGTAACCATAAGTAATTTTCTCTTTTACCTTTTGGTTTTTTCTTGGCTTTTTTCAAATGGATAATGTCGGTAGATGCCGCGGTGGAGTCTGAAGAAGAAATGCAAGCCGAGAGAAATGGACATTCAGCAAAAGAAGAATCTATTTACAAAGACAGGTGTGAGAAAAAAAAAAAGGAAACTGGGGGATGCTGGTCTGTTTTCTTACAAATGAACAACAGGATACTACAAAAAAAAGTAATAATAATCCACTGTAATCTGAGTGGATGCTTTAATATGGTACTGAACTGTACATAAGAAATATGTTCATCTTTACA